GGGGGGGGATGGGGGAGCTCAAAAACAACTCCAATTGAAAAATCACAAGCAAAATCTGCAATAAGAGCACACAAATACAAAAGACCCAGAAATAACCAAGCACTTAATACCTATTAAAGAAGTTAAAAATCAAATCTCGTTTTCAAGAATGTCGAATAAAATTGAAAAGGGTATCTGGGACTTACAGTTTTAATATCAGGGGTAGCATTGGAATTATGATCAGAGGTTAAGGAGGACATAGGAGATGAAAAATGAGGTGAAGGAAATCCGTGCAGAAGAGGAAGAGAAGTACAAGGAGCAAGAAAAGGAGAATTAAACGGAAGAGAAGAAAAACGAGGACCAAGACGAAGAGATAGTAAAAGAGGAAGCTGAAAGGAGACTCGTGTTGGTCTATGTATATTAGTAACATTTTGGGTAAGAATAAACAAGCTTCTTTTTTGACATTGCCATGGCTTAGTAAAGTGGGATTTGAAGAGTGAGTTTGTGAAACAAGAAGTGACTTTTTCTGTGGCAAAAGATGATGTGGAGGGGGACAACAATGCCATTTGAATCGTTTTTCAATTGACCATTTTTTTGGTTCTGGATTTTTCGTGTAGATATGGTGGGAAAAGCTGAGCTTGGATTCTGAGTGATGTGGATTTGCATTTGAGGTATTCCAGTCCGCTTAACTGGAGAATCTGGACCAGTAGAGAACCTTGGGCCGGCCAATAGGTTCCGTTAAAAGCGCCAAAATTTGACGGTACAGCCAGTTGTCGGACTGGTCAGTCAAAAATAGCCAGCGTTTACCAAATCAATGAAAAATAGATACTGTTTTGCTGCAATAAAGACCGGTCCAACATAATATACTGGAGTTTCGGTGCACTTGTGTATGAACTCCAGCATATTATGCTGGACCAGTATACTTTGCTGGCTCCAGTATAATATACTGGAGACTGGAGCATTGGTGCTCCAAACTCCAGTATATTATACTGGACCATTATACTTGCTGAAACTCCAGTATATTATGCTGGAGTTCTAGTGTATTTATGCTGGAACTCCATCATATTATGCTGGAGTTCCAGCATACTATCCTGGAACTCCAGTATAATATGCTGGAGTTCAAGTATACTTATGCTGGAACTCCAGCACAATATACTGGAGTATTTTTCGGGTTTTGAACAGTGTTTTCGCTCAGATTTATCTTTACATAAAAAGTGGCTAAAATTCGATTACTTTTGAAATTGGGCTATTTTTGAACGACCAGTTGTAAATCTGGCTATTTTTAAAAATCACCCGTTAAAAGCAATAGTGAGATTTGGTTCACATTTACAAGTGGTAACTAAAAAATAGTCGCAGTTTCAAAAGTAATCGAAATTTAGCCACTTTTATGTAAAGATAAATTTGAATGAAAACAGTATTCAAAATTCGAAAAATATTTCAGCACAATATACTGGACTTCCAGCATAATATACCGAAATTTCAGTATTATATATTGGTCCAGCATAATATGCTGGAAGTTCATACACAGGTGTTTCAATCTCCAATATATTATGCTGGAACTTTTCGTGTGTTGGAATACCAACATATTATGCTGTAAGTTTATATGCAGGTGCACCAATCTCCAGTATATTATGCTGGAACTTTCCGTGTTGCAGCAAAATAGTGGCTATTTTTTAATCTTTGCACATGTTAGATATTTTTCAATGACCAGTCCGAAAACTGGCTAGCCCGTGCTAATTGAAGATTTTGAAGAGTGATATAGCATATTTGGCAACAACAACAATGACCAGTGAAATCTCATTAGTGGGGTCTGAGGAAGGTAGTGTGTACCCAGACCTTATCCCTATCCCGAGGGGGTAAAGAGGTTGTTTACGAAAGACTTTCGGGGATATAGCATCTTTGACAAGCTTATAAAATCAGCTTATTTTAAACATTATTTATAAAAATTATTTTTCAAAAATAAATACTTTTAGTAAGAAGTGCTTTGTTAGCTTGTTTGTCCCTAAGATTTTAAAATTAACTTATTTTGAAAAGTATTTTTTTGCTTTTCAGAAGAAATAAAAAATCGGCGAGAAACAATTTGTATTTGGCTAATTAATTTGAAAAGTGTTTAAAAAGTACTCCTGAAAAGTACTTTTAGGAAGAACCTACTTTTTTTTTTGCTTGTCAAAAACTACTCTTGCTTCTACTCAAAAAGCTTTTTTTTTTTCATTCAAGAAGCTTGGCCAAACACCTTAGCTTTGGGAAAAAGTACTTTTAGCCAAAAAAAAAAACATATTTGGCCTAACTTCTTTTGAGCAGTAATTAGTGTTTTGACAAACTTTCTGAAATTTCTTCTAAATGTATTTTTTCTCAAAAGTACTTTTCAAAAAAGTACTTTTATAAAGAAGCAACTTTTTACTGCTTCTCAAAAACTACTGAGAAACAATTTTTTCCCCTTTTAAAAGTTTAGCAAAACACCTTAGCTGTGGAAAAAACAACACTTTTAAAACAAAGAAAAAAGCATTTTGGATCAAAAAAAGACTTGGCCAAATAGGCTATTATTCTTCTTTCATTGAAATACTTGTCTTTTTTAAGCAGGGGCAGAGCTAACCCATTAGCTACGGGTTCGGCCGAATCCAGTAGCTTTGGTCCAAACCATGCATTTGTCTTATAAAATTCATTGAATATGTACTAATTATTAATTTAGAACCCAGTAACTTAAAATGGTCAAAACTCCAAACTCATAATTTTCAAATCCTAGCTCCGCCTCCGTTTTTAAGAGTACTCCGCTTTTGATGTTTATATAAAATCAAGTAATACAATCTTGATAATTAAATATTAAAATGAGAAAATATATGCATGAAAAACACTTAGCTTATATTATCAATTTTTGCATTAATTTAGTATATAAACCACAAGTAAGTTGTTACCATTTGCCACCTACAGTTTTCGACTAAAAGCTCTAGTTAGATAATGTTATTGATCGAGAAGATAAATGAAGAACCAACAAGGGTTGTGGTGGAGTAGTAAGTACTCCTTCATCCTTAACCAGAGGTCTCGAGTTCGAACCCCGGGGTATGGAGTCGCCCTTGTTAGGAAGCGTTTTACCCCCAATGTGGGACTTCCCGGCGCGAATCCGGATTAGTCGGGCCCCAATGTGGGTACCGAATACCGGGTGAGAAATCAAAAAAAAAAAAAGAAGATAAATGAAGTGGACCAAAACCTTGTGAGAGAAAATGGTTGTTTCCTTTCACCCTTTTACCTCTTGAAGATAATGTCTTTGAGGGGAAAAATAAAGATGATTCGAGTCATTATTTGGATTCGTACAACTAAGTATGATTCTATCTCTTTAATTAATCAATGTATCATATTTTAGGATACTCAATTCTAATGAAATTCAATTGATCTATATTGACCAAAATATCATTTTAGTGGCTGAAATGGTTACTAACGAAACTAAGTCTCATGAAAACATGATATTAACCATTTAAACATACATTATATATCACATTACATTCTCTAACCGATTCAAGTAGAAGAGTCCCAACTGTTAAAGAGATCTCAACAAAATTGTTATATATGAAATTCAGCACAATTTTATGGATAAGGCAATTGATCAAACAGTTAGCCTACATTCAAAACCCGGGGCCAGATCTTCATCACAAGCATTAATATCCACGCCGGTGACTTTTGCCGCCGGTGGCCCCACCCAACAGCGGCGCTCCATTTCTAGAACCTTCTCAGAACTACCTGAAAACATGGCTTCCACCGTGCCGTCCTTTCTGTTCCTAACCCAACCACTCAAACCCAAATCCGTCGCATTATCTACTGTCCAACCCCTATATGTCACACCCTGTACTCTCCCTTTAATCACAACCCTCACCTGTAAAATTCGGTATCCATTTTTCAAATAAATCCTGAAAAAATTACTACCAAAATTTAATAAGAGAAGAAGGAAAATTAAGCTTACAGTTTTAATATGAGCTGTAGAACTGGGATCGGACATTGGTCGTCGGAGAAGAAGCCCACAGAAGTGCCGGAACAGCGGTGAAGATGCTTATGGCAGATGAAGAAAAGGAAAAATGTCAAATTATCATTTATATACCATAATTCAAATTAGGGATATAATTAAGGGTGCATTTATATTAGGCGCTAATTTAGGACCGTATCTTCCCACATTTATCTTTACCCGTCTCCCCCCCCTGGAGATGGACAGTAGCATCAATAATCTTCAGATTAGTTCTCATTTACTTCCGCAAAAATCTTAACTTAGCGACCGTATCTTCAGATTAGTTCTTATTTACCAATTCTCTATTTACACGTACAAATCATCAATGTATCGTTATTTTTATTGACCTCTTTTTTTTGTTTTTTTTTTTGGGCAGTGGCTGAAGGTTACTGGTTAACACAGTCGATTGAAACTCGAAGAAGAAGAAGAAGAAGACATATTTCCAGAATTTGTAGAAAAATTAGAAAAATTATAGATAAAGTGTATACTGTTTTTTGCAGAAGATTTTGTAGAAGCTTTAGTCGTTTTTGGATTTGTGAAAACAGAAAACAATGCATCTACAATCAGAATACAAATAATCTACAAGATATCTACAAAATGAATACATTGAATTTTAATATCCCAATTCCCATTTCAATTGTAGCATAATTGGCATTTTTGACATAATTTTAGAAGATTTGTAGAAGTTTTAGTCTTCCCAATCTACAATTTATCTACAATTATCTACATTTTATCTACAATTTATCTACAATTCTACAATTTATCTACAATTTCTGGAAATATGTCTTCTTCTTCTTCTTCGAGTTTCAATCTGAAATTCAGTCAAAACCAAGTCTAATCTTCACCAAAACCCCTCAAAATTGAGATATAAACTCCTAAATATATTCCGAATTATTTACAACAACACTCAATCCAAACAAATAATGATTTTTGAGAACCCAAATTTGAATTCAAAGCTTTCAAGCTTTTTAATGACTATCAATGGTGGAAAATATATGGAAGAACAGATGAAGATGAAAAACAGAAATCTCCTTTCCGTTTCAATATTCTTCTCCTAAATCTGTTCAGAATATTCTTCTCCTAAAATTTAGCTCGCATAAATAGGAAGATACAACTGCTATTAATTAGCTTTTAATAATTGGTACAAAAACTGTAGAAATAATATGGACTGGGCGGGTAATTTAGAAATTATGTACATTTTTGATAATAAGGTTTCATATATGGTATAGACAAAAAAAAATCCCAAAATAAATGGAAAACAGTAAAGTGAACTTGATTATGGACTTGACTTGTTGGGCTTTATTTACGTAGGCCCATATATTTTAAGTTTGTTATGGGCCTATAAAATTCTCTCTTTATCTTTACATAAATAGCCGGCCATATTCATTATTTTTTTAGCCATATATATTGATTATACATAATTATACATATATAATACATAAAATATGCATATATTATACCTCCATCAGCTATTTTTAGTTTAAGCGGTGGGTGGGTTGCTATTTGGATTAAATATGTCTTATCTTAATTATACATTTTTAAGTGTTAATTAGATTTTAGTTTTTAGTATAGTCAAAGAATTTATTAAATTTGAATAATGAAATATTACTTTAATAGACAACATATGACATTAAAATTTAAATTTATATAGTTAAACGAATTTAAGTTCCTAAAAGTTGTACAAATTCATATTAATAATATATTAGCAAACGTTTCGCGACCGTTCCAATTTTTTATTTATTTAAATAAGGTATTTCATAAACTGGAATAGAGTAATCATCTTATAATTTTTTCTTGTCACCATGAAATATTCCCCTATTGGGTCTTTTTTGTTTTTTTCTTCTTTTAAAAACATATGTAAGAAGCAATTTTTTTTTTTTTGGGGGGGGGGGGGTGTACACATAAAAATTTTTAGGGCTGCTATTTAAGGATTAATCAGTACTTATTTTGTCCTTAAAATTTGAACTAAAAATCTTAATTTCAAGTCAATACAGGACATTGGCGTCCTGAAAAACTAAATTCAGGATATATTGACTAATTCCTTGTGATGACCCAAAGGGTCATCTTATGTTTTAGAACTCGATTTCGTGTTCCTGGGTCTTCAAAACCTCATTTATTCCTCCTCGATTTGCGTGCATAGTCCGCGCGTGTATCCAGAAAGCTTTTATGTGAAAAATTAATGAAATAATAATTTTTGACCTAAAAAGTTGATTCTTGTTGACTTCGGTCAACGTTTTGGGTAAATGGACCCGGACCACATGTTCTGACAGTCCTGGTGGGTCCGTAGTAAAATATGGGACCTGGGCGTATGCTCGAAATCGAATTCCGAGGTCCCTAGGCGAGAAATAAATTTTTGATGAAAATTGTAAGACTAAAATTATAAAGATTTTAAGAATTTGGTTAATATTTGATCTTGTTGGTACCGCGTCCGTATTTTGGTTCCGGAGCCCGGTACAGGTCCGTTATGATATTTATACCTTATATGTGAAATTTGGTGAGAAACGAAACTGATTTGACGCGATTCAGACCTTTGGTTGAGAAAATAGAAGTTTTGAAACTTTCTTAAAAATTTCATGCAATTTGGTGCTAAATTTGTAGTTCTAGATGTTATTTTGGCGATTTGATCGCGCGTGCAAGTTCGTATGATGTTTTAAGAATTGTGTGCATGTTTGATTTTAAGCCCTGAGAGCTCGGGTGAGTTTCGGATAGGCTACGAAGTGATTTGGACGAAAATTTGCTGGTATGATTCAGGTCTGCAGATCTCACATTTGCGAAGCAGGGGAGGGGATTGGGTAGTTCGCATTTGCAAAGAATAGGTCCGCATATGCGGAAGTACAGGTTTGAATTTGCGACTCGAACTTCGCATTTGCGAAGGCTGCATGAATGCAAGTGGTTCGCAATTGCGATGCATTTCTCGCATTTGCGAGCTTCGCAAAGGCGAAGCTCAAGTCGCTAATGCGACATCTGCAGCTGATAAGTCTTGACTTAGACGGGATTTTTCATTCATTCTCCCATTTTTCAAAACCTAGAACACAAGAGGTGATTTTTCAAAGACTTATTCTTCCCCAAATCATAAATAAGTAATTCTTAACTAGTTTCTTTCAATATTTTACTTCTTTTTACAAGATTTCATGCTAGAATCTAGGATTTTCATGGTGAAATTTGAGGTGTTTGGGTAGAACTTAGGAATTTCGAATTTTGGAGATTTAGACCTCAAATTGAGGTCGGATTCCAAAACCAATTGTATATTCGGGCTTGGGGGTGAATGGGTAATCGGGTTTAGGTCCGAATTTCGGGTTTTTACCAAGCGGACCCGGGGTCGGTTTTTGACTTTTTGGGGAAAATATTGGGAAACTTGTAATTATGTATTGGAATTGATTTCTTTATGATAATTGATGTTATTAAGTTAATTATGATTAGATACAAGTGGTTCAGAGGTGGAAACTAGAGGAAAAGCGATAATTGAGCAGTGAGTGGCTTGTGGATCGAGGTAAGTGTTGTGTCTAACTTTGACTTGAGGGATTAGGGATCCCCGACTTATTTGCTATATGAAAATCCATGTGTGTGGCTTATAGGTGAGGTGATGAGTACCTATGCGCCGCCAAATTATCTGTTTAGCCTGTTTCTTTTCCCGTTCTTAATATATTGTCTTCTTGTCTTAGCTGCTACATGCTTATTAGTGCTTCCATGTCTAATTGGTTCTTGTTAGATGTTGTTTTCTTTATTGAAGGCATTAATTATTTTGTAGTTTCATTGTATTACATAATTGGTTTAAGTTGGTTTATCGGTGTTTCATGTTATATTTTGGTTGGTCTCGATGTGTAGTATTAATTGAGTGAAGTTTCATAATTGTATAGCCTTCTGTTTGCTTTGTTTTGAGGCTTAAATATTGTGGAGGGTTTTGAGCTAAATTGTGAAATTTCTGTTCTTATTGTGTGATTGGTACTGATATGGTGGGATCGGGTTGCACGCCGCGATAAGAGGAATAAGGGTGATATATTGAGGAGGAATAAGGGTGAAATGTGATTGTCTGGTGGGATCGGGTTGCGCGCCGCATCAAGAGGAATAAGGGTGATATATTGAGGAGTAATAAGGGTGGATTGTTATTGTACGGTGGGATGGGGTTGCGCGCCACAACAGGAGTAATAAGGGTGGATTGATACGGAGTAATAATGGTGAATGTTCATATTGTTACTGATTATATGGTGGGAACGGATGTGCGCCGCATCAGTTTGTTGTTTATGTATTCTCCTTCTACTGTGAATTTATTCTGTAGTATTGTAACTTTCCTAAGGATTGGTTCATTTTTGCTGCAAGTCACTGTTTCATTTTGTCCCGTACTTCCTTTTCGCTTTATTATATACTGTATCCAGGTTATATTGTAAATGCCCCGCCGTAGCCTCGTCACTACCTAGTCGATGTTAGGCTCGGCACTTACCAACACATGGGGTCGGTTGTACTGATACTGCACTCTGCACTTTCTGTGCAGATTTTGGAGCTGGTAGTGGCTGATCGAGATATGGTTGCAGATATTTCATCCCGGAGACCCAAGGTAGTCCTGCTGGCGTCCGCAGGCCCTGGCGTCCCCTCCTATGTTTCTACATTCGTGTTTTCTTATCTTTCGAGACAGATGTAATTTCTTTCAAACCAATATTTGTAGTAATTCGTAGTATGTTTGTGGATTGTGACACTTGACTCTAAGTAGTAGTAATAGCTTCGATATTGTGAATTGACAAAGGTTATTTACGTATTTTCGCATTTATTCCAACTTGATTTAGTCTATTAAATTTTAATCTATGAAATGTAAAGGAAAAATGTTAATGGAACTCTAACATTGGCTTGCCTAGCGAGTACGTTGTTAGGCGTCATCACGGTCCCGATGGTGGGAAATCCGAGTCGTGACATTCCTAAATAGCAGCCCTTTAGAGTGCTACTTGATGTCATTTCTACGCAATTTTCTGTATAGGAAGGAAAAAGAGAAAGGTTATAGCCCAGTAATTTTGCATTGCCCGTTTTTGATCCGCACATATCCGACTCGACCCGTTCGCTTGTCACTCCCAATCCTGCTTAAAGATATGGGCTTGTGATTAAATTGGGCTATATAGTTTATGTGGATTCCTACAAGACGTCAAAAGCCCAATTTCTAGTCCTTAGATTCCTTGGAAATAAACGTTCTATAATGTAGTGTTTTATTGAATTTTTTAATAAAGAAATGGTGCCGCACACACTTCAGTATCTTTTTATTATTTTCTGCAGCCATTAAAATATTACTATATTCAGCCCATGAACATTGGACTAAGCCTCAAGCTTATCCATATCCAAATAAGCCACGACTTGGGTAGTACGAAATAT